CTTTTGAGTTGGATCGGCTCTGTACTTTAGGAAAGCGCACGGCATGGCCCGGTTGTCAATCTGCACAGGCCGTTCTTTACATCAACCCTTGTAAGTCGGTGCAATTTGTCAGGCTCTTTGAGTTGGATCGACTCTGTACTTCAGGATAGCGTCAACTTGCACATGTCGTTTTTTCACATTAATTTAGGATGGTGCTGACTCTTTTGGGCCGCGGCCAGGCTGGAGATGGGTTTGCTGTGAGCTTAGGCTTAGAGGCTACAGTCAAGCTGGTTCGGGGTTGCGGTCTTGAGTTCAGGCCACGATCAGGCTGTTTTGCCTATGCTGTGGGCCCGGTTGCGGGTCTGCTGTGGGCTTGAGTTCAAGGCTGCGGTCAGGCTGGTTGGGGGCGTGGTCGAGCTTTCATTGGGGCGTGGTGAGGTTGAATCGGGGAGGCTGCAGTCAGGCTGGTTTTGAGCTGCCGTGGGCCTTATTCGAAGCCGCAACTCGGCTAGGTTAGGGGTCGCAGTCAAGCTGTCTTTTGAGGGCCCGTTAGACTGGATGCGGCCCGTTTACTTTGATTGACAAGCCAGGACCCCCCATGGCGTTGGTGCTTGGCATGATGTTGAGAGCGCCTCTTGTTTGCTCTCTGCAGGGGCGAGTGCCGGGTGCTGCCCCTGGACGTTCTTACCACGCTGGGATGGACGGAGGACTACGAGGAGAATTTGAGAATGCGCCCCTATCCCGTGTTCGAGCTCGCTCACGTGCACAAGCGCACGATCCTGATCTTGGCCAAGAAGGGGGTCGGGAAGTCGAAGGCCTTCATGGCCTGGCTGGTGGCCGTGGCCAGGAGGAACCCCGGCCTCAGCTTCGTCCTGATCGGGGCTAACGTCTCGCTATCCAGCAAGTACCACCAGGACCTGGTGGACGCGGGCGTGGAAGGCGTGGTGCTCTACCTGGAGGCGCCCCCGGGGCCCATCACCGCCTCTCGTGTCGTCATCTGCATCAACTCCATCCATCGCGTGCGCGTCCGGATGGACGTCGTTGCGATGGACGAGATGAACATGGTGCTCACGAACCTCAACTCCGAAGTCATGAGTCAACGGGGCCGGGTGCTGTCCTGCCTAGAGGCGGCCGTGGCGGGGTCAAAGGTCATCATAGGCATGGACGCCGACATCGATTGCGCACGGGTGATGGAGTACCTCTTCATGGCGCGGCCGGATGGGGTGCTCCACACCATCCGAAACACGGGCCTGTACCCGGCCGAGAGACAGGCGACCATCCGCATCTTTCCAATGGGAAGCGGGCTGCACGAATGCTTCCGCGCCGCAGTG